CAACCTCAGTGGTGTTCTGCCCATTCCCTTTGCCCTCTGGGGTGTCTCCTGCCCCGGGGATGGCCCAAAACAGGGCCTGGACCAGTAGGAGAGGCAGGTGCATGACGGGGCACCCTGGCCGATATGACACAGCCCCCGGAGCACAGATTGGCACCCCCTTCCTGGGAACACAGGCCCCCATGCCCTCAGGGTCACCATCTGAGAGGTAGGGCTACATCACTGGCACTCTTGGCAAGAGGACGAGAGGGGGCCTGGCACTGAGAGGCTCTAGGCCTGCTGTGACCAAGCAGGAGGCTGAGCCACGCTGGCTCAGCTGCACTGGGGCCCACAGCGCTGGACCGCCCAGAGCTATCAGATCACTAACTGAGAGGTGGGACCCTCCTGCCCAGGGGAGTCCTGAAACTCCCCATCAAAGCAAACACACAAGAGATTGAGAGGCTGGCCGGGCACGCCCTCACCTGGGTCCCCTGTAAAGGATATAATATCAATGCAGGACGTAGCTCTTTCCCCTGGAGCTCACAGAGATGTTCCTGTTCTTAGTCCAAAAGTCCAACTCCAAGGCCAAGGTCTCAGTGTTGTCCCCGGGGTGGAGCCAAGCACCACCTCCCCCCAGGCACCCTTCCCAAGCCCCGTCCTGGGAGGTCTCAGGAACGGGGATGCAGGGCAGCACGGGGAGGGGTGCCCACCGTAGGAAGGTGGTCCTGCAGCATGCCCTTCAGCACCTGGGGCATCTCAGAGAGGAACAGACCCTCCATCAGCCAGTAGGAGTCGCTGGGAGAAGGACCGCTCAGGCATCACACCACCCCACGCAGGACGCCCCGTGGGCCCCGGGCTCCCCCCGCGCACACCCCACTCCCTGCCCCGAAGCCCCCGGCCGCTCCCCAGTAGTAGAACTCAACAAAGCGCCCACCAGGCACAATGAAGGGGTGTCTTGAGTAGATCAGAGAGAAATGCTCAGGGTGGCTGAGAACCTCTGGCCTCACCTGGAGTCAGGGGAGAGGGCACAGGGAGCGTGGGGCCCACGTGGAGTGGAGGCTGGAGGAGGCTGGGAAGCTGGAGGCCCTGGCAGCCGCGGGCTTTGGAGCCAGGCAGCCCGGGCTTGGGTTCTGGCTCTGGGGCTGCTCAGCCGTGTGGCCTTGGTCAAGGCCTGGGCCGCGGGGAGTCTGGTCTGCTGGTCCCCACATGCTGGCCTCTGGCATCCCAGCGAGAGCATGACGGTGTGCAGGAGCCTGGACCGCTCAGCCCAGTGCCTAGCTGGGGGGGACCATTTCCTCCGTCTCCCAGTGCCCCCCGAATCTCGGCTGCCACTGTGAAGCCAGGCCCAGAGGATCAGGGCCCCCCAGTTCTGGCCCAGGTGTGGATGAAACCCCAGTACCTTTCCCCAGTGAGGCAGATGTGGACAGACATGGCCAAGGGAGAGCACAGTAGGACCAGAGTGGGGCTTGCTGTGTCCACATCAGGTGTTTTCCCTGTTCATTCTCTCCCAGTTCTACACCTGTGAGGTGACTTTAGTGGGAGAGAGTCAGCCTGTCAGGGATTTGGCGGGGAGGAGCGGAAGGGGCTCGGGTTTGCTCCCACTGGGTGAGGGGCTGGTGAGGAAGTGGCCCAAGCTGGCACATGACCCTGGAGCACTGCCCTGTGCCAGTGGGTGCCAGGGCCCTGGGGTCAGGCTGGAGGACAGGTGTTGTGCAGCTGGGAGCAAACTGCTACCCTCTCTGAGCCTCAGACAAAGGAGAGAAAGTGCGTGATAGAGTGTGCTGAGCACAGGGCTGGGCCAGGATCAGCAGTAGCAATTATTATTCCCGAGCAGAGGCCTCACCAGAGGAGCTCAGGGACCAGGGAGTCCCGCAGGGGAGTGAACAGTCACCATGTGGTGTAAAGGGCGGGACGGGGCAGCCTCGGGGTGGAGGACAGGCTCGGTTTGCCTGGGGGAGGCTGGGGAGGGCAGAAGGTGAGGAGTTAGAAGTAGATGTTTCCGTCCTCCCCCTCAGTTCTTTCTAGAGAGTCCTGTAGGGCCCGAGTAGGGGTTCTGGTTACTCCTAAGCCCAGTGCCACCTGGGAGAATGACTCCCAAGCTGTGAGGTAGTAAAATTTGCAGGAACCAAGCTAGGCCGCGCTGAAGTCTGGCCTGTGAGACAAGGAGGAAGGTGTGGCTGGTTCAAGTATGGTCTTCAGCGTAAAAGATCTGCAAGTTTACCCCATTCACCACACTCCTCTAGGAGCCAGCGGCTTCTCTGACCCGGGCAACGTGGACAAGACTCTGAAATACCTGGAGGCGAGGGGGCAGCAGGGCGGGCTGCTACACTGGGGGCAGGGCCACCTGTCACTCCCTGACTCTGACCTGTGACCTCTGGCAAGTGGCAGCCACACCCCACTCCGCCCAGGGCCTTAGCCTGAGGGTCTCACTTCTGCCACCAGGGGGCAGCTGTGAGCCAAGGAGAGAAGGCCCCCAAAGGGGACATCTGGCTCGGGAGGGCCCAGCCTCTTGGCTCCCTGTCCAGCCCCCACCTACACTCATGGTAACGTCTGGAACCTTCTAGGACAACCAGATCTTCACCTACCAGAAGACAGGCCAGCAGTGGGACTTCTCCAATGCCTGGGCCCCCTGTAGGACCTGCTCATCAGAGGTGAGGAGGCAGGGATGGGGCCTCTCCCAGGGTCTCAGCCCACAGGGGTAGATGGTCCGCCTGCCTGGTTCTGGGGAGGCGTGAACAAATGAGGCAGAGGCCCTTCTCTGGCTCCTCTGCTCTCTCCGCCTCTCGCTCAGCAAACACTTACCTACCCCCACCTGTCAGGGGAATCGGCCCTCCTCTCTCCACACCCAGGCCTGGATGGGAGCAGGTTGGCTCCCGGCTCCAGGAGGGAGGTCTTAGCGCCCGGGCCTCTTTCTCTCCTTGAGGAGAATAAGGCTCAGGCCTCTGCTACCCCTGGGATGGGAGCTCTGGAGATTCAGGGTCCTACCTGGGGTGGGGTCCAGGTCTGGCCAAGTCTCCTTCAGCCAGAGCCCAGGAAGTGGCTTTCCAGCTGGCCCAGAATTGGATCCGAACCAACTGTGACATCTACTCCAAAAAGTCAGCCATGTATGAGAAGGTGAGCTGCCCCTGAGCCCAGTCCCTCGGGGTCCTCCTCCCCATGGTGAGATGGAGGAATCGTCAGGCTGTGCAAAGCCCAGGCCCACACAGCTGGGGACAGTGGTGGCACCTGGTGGCCATTCTTGGGCACTGCAGGGGTCAGAGCTGCTGGCCAGAACAGCTTCTCTCTAAGGGGCTCCCATTTCTGGCTTCCCTAGAGGCCTGGCGTTGGGGGGCCGGGGTAGGGCCTGACCTTAGAGCCCGTCCTCTTGTCCCCAGTATGACATCAGCAACGGTGGACAACCAGGTGGTGGAGGGGAGTATGAAGTTCAGGTGAGTGGGCCACATGCTCCAGGGAACTTCGGGGCTCTGCTCTCCCTGCAACTGACCATGACCTCCCCTCTCCGGGCCTGTTTTTTCCATGGAGGTGGGTCCCAGGGAGGAGCCTGACTGGTGCTCCCTGGTACCCCTGGGGCTATTCAGGGCCAGAGCCTCTAGGTGGGGACCCATATACCCCATAAAAGGACTTGGGGGCCTTCCCCAGAGATCTTGCGCCACTGACCTTACCTGTCTCCAGGAGGGGTTTGGCTGGACCAGTGGTGTGGTCCTGATGCTCCTGGACTGCTATGGTGACCGGCTGAGCTCGGGGACCCACACAGCTTTCCTGGAGCCCCACTGCCTTGCAGCTGCCCTTCTGCTTAGCCTCCTGCCTCAGTGACGGGCCTTCACTCCCTCATCTGGCTCCAGCTCCTGCCAATTAAACCTCCACATGAGTCCCTGCCTTCTCCTGCCTCTTGATCCTTTCAGGGTCCTACCTGGGGTGGGGTCCAGGTCTGGCCAAGTCTCCTTCAGCCAGAGCCCAGGAAGTGGCTTTCCAGCTGGCCCAGAATTGGATCCGAACCAACTGTGACATCTACTCCAAAAAGTCAGCCATGTATGAGAAGGTGAGCTGCCCCTGAGCCCAGTCCCTCGGGGTCCTCCTCCCCATGGTGAGATGGAGGAATCGTCAGGCTGTGCAAAGCCCAGGCCCACACAGCTGGGGACAGTGGTGGCACCTGGTGGCCATTCTTGGGCACTGCAGGGGTCAGAGCTGCTGGCCAGAACAGCTTCTCTCTAAGGGGCTCCCATTTCTGGCTTCCCTAGAGGCCTGGCGTTGGGGGGCCGGGGTAGGGCCTGACCTTAGAGCCCGTCCTCTTGTCCCCAGTATGACATCAGCAACGGTGGACAACCAGGTGGTGGAGGGGAGTATGAAGTTCAGGTGAGTGGGCCACATGCTCCAGGGAACTTCGGGGCTCTGCTCTCCCTGCAACTGACCATGACCTCCCCTCTCCGGGCCTGTTTTTTCCATGGAGGTGGGTCCCAGGGAGGAGCCTGACTGGTGCTCCCTGGTACCCCTGGGGCTATTCAGGGCCAGAGCCTCTAGGTGGGGACCCATATACCCCATAAAAGGACTTGGGGGCCTTCCCCAGAGATCTTGCGCCACTGACCTTACCTGTCTCCAGGAGGGGTTTGGCTGGACCAGTGGTGTGGTCCTGATGCTCCTGGACTGCTATGGTGACCGGCTGAGCTCGGGGACCCACACAGCTTTCCTGGAGCCCCACTGCCTTGCAGCTGCCCTTCTGCTTAGCCTCCTGCCTCAGTGACGGGCCTTCACTCCCTCATCTGGCTCCAGCTCCTGCCAATTAAACCTCCACATGAGTCCCTGCCTTCTCCTGCCTCTTGATCCTTTATCCCTGGACAGCCCACCCCCCCACCCCCAGGCCGGTCCTTGGTCATGGTGGAGTGGAGGCAGGATAGGGACCTGGAGGTCACGGTTGGGCCCCGGGTCCCTGGAACATCTAATAAGGTGGAAATGCTGCATTGTGGGGAGACCTTTTTCCTAACCCACGTATCCCAACCCCATGTCCCCCACCACCAGGCCTCCCAAAGACATAGTCCAAATGCTTTATTGTTCTGCTGAGATGCTTACAAATACTGAAAAACATCCAGCCTGGACCCAGCAACCATGGCCCAGGGCTGGGAAGGGGGACAGGGAGGTGGGCTTAGTGTTAAGGCGGAAAGGGCTGAGCACAGACAGCTGGAGGCCTGGTCCTCTGCTCTCCATTTCATCCCCCTTCTGAGGCTGCAGGGAGGGCAACCAGACCTCAGGGCACCCCCCTCTGTTGCTTCCTCTCCTGCTCAGGACTTCCATCAGGGAGAATCTGAACAACCCTCTGTCAGAAACTCAGCCCTATAACAGAAGCCCAAGGACAGCCCTTCTAGCTTCTCCCATCCAATGGCTCCTCCTCTGGTCTCTAGTTCCCAGCTTCACCCCTTCTGGCTCAAAGCAAGGCACGAGTGGAAGGGGGAGGGCTGGACAGGGGAGCCAGCAGGCTGTGTATCAGGGCCTGGAGACGCAGGCAGGGGGCAGGGAGAAGGTGTTCAGTCCCTTCCCCCCAGCAGGAGATGCCCAAGGGCCTGGGCTGGAGAGATGTTGGCACATACCCTCAGACGGGCCCACCGCTGAAGCAGTGGGCTGAGCCACGGAGCCACGGCAATTAGTATGTAACCATGGCGATGAAGCCGTCACTGTGGTGACCATGGTGATGGGTCTGTAAAAAGGTGATAGAGCTGGGACCTCAAGGATGACACTTCCGGTCTCTGGCCCTTCAGCAAAGTAATAAAAAATATAAACGCAGGACAACAATGGGGTAGAGCGGGGTTTGAGAGGTACACCGCCTGAGCTGTTACCCCACTCTGAATGCGGCTCTGCTCAGCCCCCAAGGCCCCTGCAAAGGGGGCTGAGGCAAGAGGGGATCTTTGGCAGCTTCTGGTACCATAATTAGTCCTTTACAAAAGAGAACACAGGCTGGGGAGCACAGGTGCCAGGTCAGAGCGGAGCGGCCCCTCTGTGACAGCTCCTCAGCCTGGCTGGGCCTGGGGCAGGACCCTGAAGGGATATTGCAAGTTCTGGGCTCCCAGGAGGCAGCAAAGCCCCCTCCCCAACTTTTATCTCCTGGCTGGTTCTTTGGGGGGGCTGGAGCTCAGAAACTCACAGGACGAGCTCCTTACAGAACATTACAAGTCACTTCTTGTACAAAACCCCAGTCATGCTCCGCCCTCCAGGGCCTCTGGGAGCACTTGTGTGAGGCCTGAGGCCCAGGGCGTGACTGTCTCCAGGGGCGAGTGGAGCAGCAGGCAGTTGGGCCTGGGTCCTGGGCCAGCCTGAGGGTCCATGAGGCCCATTCGGTCAGTTCATGAACTGGGTGTAGCCCTCCGCCCCGGTGACGATGACATCCATCCAGATGCGCATGGCCTCTGCGGACGGGGCCACCATGTAGTACAGCCGGTCATGGGTCTTCACACAGAAGGTGAGGGCCGGGTTTGGGCTCTGCCGAGGGAGAGAGGAAGGTCTAAGCCAGGGCCCACCCGCAAAGGCCAGGAGCATCTTGCATCTGCCTCGCCGTCTGCCCTTCCTCTCTCTGGCTCCAGGACGCCCTGGAGCTCGAGGCTGAGTCCTAAATAGGCCCAGAGCCCAATCCCCACCACCAGGTGAGACGGTCCCCTCCTTGGACCCTGGCAGGGACAGACGCTGCCAGGCGGGGGCCCTGCTCCTTGGTACCCGCAGGCACAAAAGGGAAAGACTCAGCCTCAAAGGGCTGTTTCGGTGAGGATCAGAGTCTCTTCTCAGCAAAAGAGGAACAGATGGAAAAAGCTACAAGTGGGATGCTGGGCCCCAGGACCTCAGAAGGGCAGAAGATCAGGGATGGAGTGGGCATCTGAGGCTTGGCGGGAGGGAGGCTGACCTGCGTGAAGGCAGATGGTCCCAGCCTCAAACGTCTCCTGTTTACCAATCCTCTTGACCAGATCTAGTCTCTGAGGGCCCCCTACTCCCCTTGTAGCCATCCCTTCTGCACTGCCCACCCCCACGGAGGGACACATCCTACCGTCATCTCAGGATTGGGAGGCAAGCAAGCGTACTCACGCCCACAGGGGCTTCCTGCTCTCTGCCACCCACCTGGCTCCCCCCCTCAGGCCTGGGGGAAGGGGGGGTACTTAGGGGAGAGTCAAGGGTCAGGGGCGAGAACGGTACAGGAGGCATTAATATGCAGTAGTTCTGGTTACAGGTATATGGGGAGGGGTACCTCAGACACCATAGTGAAGCTGAAAAACCTCTTCTGGGAAAGGGAGAGGGAGAGAGGAAGAGAAAGTTTAGAAAGAGAACAAGAGATGGGTCTGAGCCTCTGAAGAGGGCAGGCTGGAGGCCTTTGCTCACAGAGCCCTGCTGGGCCCACCCCTTCCCCAGGGCTGTCCCTCTGCCCCTCACCTTGGCTGCACTGCGCAGGTGGTCATAGTACACTTCCTCGATGGCCTGGAAATAGATGACCCCTTTCAGCTTCGTCTCATGCTTGTCTGCAAAGGAATAAGGGCCAGGCTTGTGGATGTGGAGCGTCCTCATGTGGGAAATGGAGTGATTCCCAGGGCTCCAAAACAGAGCCCAGCAGGGAGCCCGGAAGACATGGTCAGTGTTCAGCCTCACTCAGAATTATGGAGAATGCAAATTAGAACTCCACCGAGATACCACTTCTAACCTATCGGAACAGCAAAAATACACCCAAAATACACAGCACACTTTTGGTTAAGTCTGTGGAGAAACAGGCGGTGTGATAAATCTGACAGGTGGGAATTGGTAAACCCTTAGGAATGGTTTGGCTGCATCTACCAAAGTTAGAAATGTGTTTGCCCCTCAAGCCAATTTTTACACTTAATGAAAATTTATCTTACACATGTACAAAATAACAAATTTACAAGCTTCACCATAGCAGTACCTATAGTCATGAAAGATTAGAAACAAGCCAAGTATCCATCAAGTGGAGATGGCTAAGTAAATTAAGAGTGTGCCACATGATGGAATACATCCAGCTGTTTAACAGAATGACAGAGAATTATCTGATATAGATACAGATTCAGAAATAAATCTAAGGACTTCCCTGGTAGAGCAGTGGTCCGGGAAGATCCCACATGCCACGAAGCAACTAAGCCCGTGCACCACAACTACTGAGCCTGCACTCTAGGGCCCGTGTGCCACAACTACTGAGCCCACGTGCTGCAACTACTGAAACGCACGCAGCTCGAGCCCGTGCCTTGCAACGAGAGAAGCCACCACAATGAGAAGCCCGCACACCGCAACGAAGAGTAGCCCCCGCTCGATGCAACTGGAGCCGCGTGCAGCAACGAAGACCCAATGCAGCCAAAAATAATTAATTAAAAAAAAATCTATAAAATATGCCCAGATATCAATATCTAGATATAGATATATTTGAGATAGAAAGATCTCTAAGATACATTAGCAGGAAAACAAGGAATGTATTGGGTGCTACCTTTTGTGTAAGAAAAGGGCTAAGAATACATGTTTGCATTTGTTTATATTCCCTTAAAGATACTCTAGGATACACAAGAGATTTAAAGGTGGTTACCTGTAGTGAGAGGGGGCGTAATGCTCAATTTAAACCTTTCTATGTGCCTTGAATTTTGAACTATATGAATGCATTTATCTATTTAACTCCAACAGTAAAAAATGGAAGGAAGCGTATAGCATCTGGAGGCAGGGGTGGCAGGAAGGAGGTGGGCAAACTCGCAGAGCAGATGACCGCTCGGGTGGCAGGGATAGGGCGCTGGCAGGGGAAAGCACAGGGCCCGGGCCATCCCGTCTTGGGGCAGACACCGAGCAGGCACCTCAACTGACGTCCTGGGCACTGAGCCCAAGTTACAAAGCAAAGGCCACAAGATCACTAAACTCAGACTGCGATGGCTGGCACCTTCCCCCACCCCCAGTGTCGTTTCAGGCCGAGGCATCGCCCTGATGCCGAGGGGGGAGCTTCCGGAAGCAAATCAAATCCTGCTGCCTCGGCTCACAAGCGTCTCTGCCGGTTCCTTCACTGGAAGCTGCTGCCTCCTTGGCTTGGCAAAGGTCCCTGACAGGCCGGTGCCAACGCGCCCCTCTGGCCTTGCCTCACATCCCTCCCCTGCACCAACCGCAAGTTCTCTCCGGCCAGATTGAGCTTCTCACGGTCCCCTAACAGTACGCTCTGCCGACACTGGAATGGTCTCCAGCCCATTCCCTTGGCAAACTCCTATGTCATCTTCAAGACCCATTGCAATTGTCACCACTGGCGTGCACGGTTGTGCTCTCCCGTGCCCCTACATCACGGATGGTCCTCTGTACAGATCTCACGGTGCTGGATCTGAACCCTCCTTTATCTGTTCGTAGGTCAAGCTCTCCAACACTGCTATGTCCTAGCACACGGCAGGTGCTCAATCAATGTTGAGTAAATGAGTCCGAGGCACTGGGATCCAAAGAAGTCAGAGACCCTTCTCTTAGGAGCCCACAATTCGGGGGAAAGGAAAGCAGACACACAGCCGCTTATCAGCTGTGTGACCTGGGCACGGTTAGGACTCCAAGAGAACGCCTACAGGTCACTGGCAGTCACGAGTGTTAAGTGAGAGAACACACTCCGACTGTTCAGCACAGTGTCTGGCACAATACACGTGGCATCTGTCATGACATCATTATGCCCTAGGGCTGGTACCACATGGCAGAGGGACCCTGTATAACACAGGAGTTAACAGCAGAGGGCAGGAACCGCTCCCAGTGAGGCGGGACCAGGAAAGGCTTCACCAGAGGTGGCTTCTGATCTGGACCCTGTCGAATGGAGGGGTTTCATGGAGTAGGTGGGAGGAGGGTCCAGACAAGGGCAGGGAGGATGTCAGCTTCGAGGAGCAGGCCAGGCACACCCAGGGCCCTGATCCAGCCACAGGCCCGCCTCCACCCGGCACTTCCTCCTCGGAACAGGGACCCAGCCCCATCCTGGCCCCTGGGCCTGGCCTTCCCTCCAGCCCCTGTTCTCTCCCATCTCTTCCTTTACTGGAAAG